TAGTAAGTTAATGAATAAAACACGTCACCAATTAAAATTGCCAAATAGTTTCTTTTATTTAACTTGGTTTTATTATGTTGATGCTATTCGAATATAATAGTTAAATTTTATACGCTGATATTGGTTTTTCAATGTAAAAATAAATAATAGAAAAGAATAAATTTGTTCTTATCCTCCGAAATTTGTGTCAAAGAATTTTTTGTCTTCAGAAATTCCCAAAAAAGAGAAATGGGAATCTGTTCTTGAAATAGAGTAAGGAGTTGGCACTTGATATTTATTTAGACTATGCTACACTTTGAGCATTATTTTATATTCCATATATAATAAAATGTCTATTTCTTGAAGCAACTTAAACTCAAGTTGAAAGAAAACTACCGAATATGCTTTGGCTACAAATAAAAACCTACCAAAGGGAGTAGTGGTAACCTTTAAGAACAAAATTATTTGAATAATTCAAATTAGATGGAAAAAATTCAGTGTGTTGGTATTTTTAGAGTAAATGAATGTGGTTTATTAATAATCTCTCAAGAGATTCATAGTTATATGTATTATAATTATTATGCATATGGTGGAGGAGTTAAATATTCGTAAATGATATAATATGGATCGGTGAAACACATATGTGTTTGGCAGTAAAGTTGTTCGGTTTGTGAGTGAGGTATACCTCAACTCGGATGAAGTAGAACTCAGTCTTCATGACGAAAACGAAATTTCCTTTACAGAAATATAACTCGATCCGTGTTAGATTTAACTCGGACCGTGTTGATTTTCTGAGGAAAAACTCGTGTTGCACAGAAATTTGACACGACCCGTGTCAGGTGGAACTCGATCTGAGTCAAAAATCTGTGAGAAGTATTTCGTGTTGTGTCAAGTGTAACTCGGACCATGTCAGTTAAATACGAACTGATGCGATTCTTCGCGTGAAAACTGCAGATTTTGCAACTTTTGGTGATGTTTTTTTGGTGTTTATATGCTAAAGACGTCAGAATAAGTTGGGTACGAGATTTATTCCATTTTTGAGAGATTTTGAGAGCACTTTCGGAAGTTTCTTGTAAAAACTCTCCCGAAAGCTTTCGTTCATCTTCTTCTTCACGTTTCATTGTCTATGCATTCTTGAACGAGCAATTCTAGAACGTATTTCTCTTTATTGTATCTCAGAATCGTATTCCGGTAGTCCTTGCTCGTAACGGACGGAATAACGGTTTTAGGAAAGTGTCTACACGCCTTGAAGAGATATCTGGTCTCTCGGTTCGATTTCATTCTCTTTTTGCCGTTGTCTTTCCTCCAGATCTATAACAATCTAAAACCGTTATCCACTCGAGGATGACATCTTCTGTGAGGGATTTGGCTATGAACTTTCACAAACTCGACAAGTTCGAGGGCGTGGGCTTCAGGCGGTGGCAGAAGAAGATGCACTTTTTGTTGACGACGCTGAATGTCGTCTACGTCATCAGCACACCCAGACCGGAAGAGACTGAAGAGGAAACTTTGGCACGTATACGGAACAAATGGGATAACGACAACTACGTATGTTGCGGTCATATTCTCAACGGTATGTCAGACGAACTTCTTCTTCGTTTGTTGTTAAGGATTTCGATGTGCCTATGTTGGGGCATGTTAGACTAGGACATGTTCATTACAAACGTGTTAACTTTATGTCGAAAATGGATTTAATTCCACCATGCACGTTGAATGATGGAAAATGTATTACATGCATGAAAACAAAAATAACTCGTCATTCTTTTTCTAGCATAGAACGAAGTTCGGAAATGTTAGAACTAGTACATAGTGATCTATGTGATTTGCACAGTACACCGTCTTTAGGAAATAAGAAGTACGTAGTTACATTCATAGAAGATGCTACACGGTTTTGCTATGTGTTCTTGTTGCATTCAAAGGATGAAGCTCTTGATAGGTTTAGAGCGTATAAATCCGAGGTTGAGTTACAACTCGGGGTTAAGCTAAAGAAGCTTAGGACTGATAGGGGAGGGGAATACTATGATCCTACGTATTTTGAACCCATAGTAGTGATTCATGAGACTACCGCACCTTTGGTGTCAACCTTCGGTGTTAGAAGGATATACGGATGCGAGTTGGAACTCTAGTGAAGAGGATCATGCCTCGGTGAGTGGTTGGTTGTACCTACTAGGTGGAGCTGCGATTTCTTGGGCCTCCAAGAAACAAAATTGCATTTCGGATTCGACGATGGCGTCGGAATTCATTGCCTTAGCTTCTGCGGGAAAAGAAGCAGAATGACTAAGGAATTTGGTATTCGAGATACCATTATGGCCTAAACCGGTATTGCCTATCACAATACATTGTGATAGCGCAGCGACATTGGCTAAGGCATATAGCCATGTATATAACAGAAAGTCTAGACATATTGGTTTACGATATAGCTATGTAAACGGTCTTATAAAAGATGGGGCCATAGTGGTGGATTTTGTGCGTACAAAACAAAACTTGGCTGATGCTCTTACCAAGAGTTTGTCGAAGGACATGTTGCACAAAATGACTATAGGGATGGGTCTTGGGCCTATTGATTAAATCACAACTAAAGGAATCTCAACTCAACGTCTAATACAACGTTAGATCTTGAGTTCAATGAGTTAAATCCTCTAATATGTGGTTGTAGATGCTTAGAAGTAAATCATCCCGAGGTAAGCATCTTGGTTTGCAACGTAAAGAGGTTGTTTAATACTTAATGAATTCTTTGACAAAGTGCTTAGTTGCAGAGCATGATTTGAAAGAATTCACCTATGCGAGCATGAAGTGTGGCCGCTTCAAGATGTTGGTGGCTCGACATCTATGTGCTTGTGAAGGGGATATGGACACATGGTCGATATAGTGTCAAGATATACAAGGAAATCTATTGATTCTGTGTGTGTATACTTGGTAGCTCAACAAGGATTGCGTAGGTTCAATCGTTATCGACACCTACGGAATTCGAGTCTATTGTTGTATATTACACTAAGTAGAAGTTCAATCGTAAAGACACTTTCATTTATGCACAGAATTGTGAAGATGAATGATTAATTGTTTGATTGTCCATTGCATATTTTACTCTAAAAATGGTGTAGGATTGTTGGTATTTTTAGAGTAAATGAATGTGGTTTATTAATAATCTCTCAAGAGATTCATAGTTATATGTATTATGGATATGGTGGAGGAGTTAAATATTCGTAAATGATATAATATGGATCGGTGAAACACATATGTGTTTGGCAGTAAAGTTGTTCGGTTTGTGAGTGAGGTATACCTCAACTCGGGTGAAGTAGAACTCAATCTTCATGACGAAAACGAAATTTTCTTTACAGTAATGTAACTCGGTCCGTGTTAGATTTAACTCGGATCGTGTTGATTTTCTAAGGAAAAACTCGTGTTGCACAGAAATTTGACACGGCCCGTGTCAGGTGGAACTCGATCTGAGTCAAAAGTTTGTGAGAAGTACTTCGTGTTGTGTCAAGTGTAACTCGGACCATGTCAGTTAAATACAAACTGATGCGATTCTTCGCGTGAAAACTGCAGATTTTGCAACTTTTGGTGATGTTTTTTTGGTGTTTATATGCTAAAGACGTCAGAATAAGTTGGGTACGAGATCTATTCCATTTTTGAGAGATTTTGAGAGCACTTTCGAAAGTTTCTTGCAAAAACTCTCTCGAAAGCTTTCGTTCATCTTCTTCTTCACGTTTCCTTGTCTGTGCGTTTTGAACGAGCAATTCTAGAACGTATTTCTCTTTATTGTATCTCAGAATCGTATTCCGGTAGTCCTTGCTCGTAATGGACGGAATAACGGTTTTAGGAAAGTGTTTACACGCCTTGAAGCGATATCCGGTCCCTCGGTTCAATTTCATTCTCTTTTTTCCGTTGTCTTTCCTCCGGATCTATAACAGAGTGGACACTCACGATAAAACAAATTGGTTTAAGTGATTTAATTAACAACCCAAAAGAAAAATTAGGGAAAAAAATAAAGAAGTAAAGGGGAAATTAGGTGGACCATCCTCAATAAAGCTTAAATTGCAAGTGGGTGGTAAAATAAACATTGGAAAATATTTTAAAAGAAGATTCAAAAAGAAAAAGAAAGTGACAAAATGTAAAAAAAAAATGTAACAAAATAATGCAATGTTTGGCATTGTACAGTCAAGTTGGTTAGGTGAAAGCGAACACACCCACTTCCCCATCATCCCAAAATTCACCATATATAAAATTTTCCCTTTTTTTGTCATTATTAACCATCATTTTCTGCATATATCACTGTTTTTCAAATTCTTATATAATATATATAAGTGTTGTATCTGTATAAAATCCGCCAAGGATCTTAGATTTTGGAAGTGACGGTGGCATGCGTTCTCTTGCCAGGACTTGATAAACCCTAAAGTCGCAAATTCAACATGATATGATCTTTTATGGATTTATTTAAGTAGAAACAAAATATTGATTTTTTAACATGAAAAGAAATGTGCCTTTTCTTATATAAAATATGGAAGATGTAATCAATTGAACTGTATACCACTTTTCGGACATGTCTTGAGAAATATTTTATTCATTGATACTAATTGACTTAGTTGTATAATTCATGATTTGATATTGTATGTGTGTGTTTATGATCTAATTGAACTTTGATTCGTTAAACATTTACTCAATTCAAATCTTTTATAATTATATATATATATATATATTGAATTTCCGTTGCGCTGGGCTTGGATTTGATTATTTTCAAATTTAATTTTAATTCTTTACAAAAAAAATCGTTCGTATGTTAAAACACATATACTAATGAAGTATCACTGTCATCATGATGTGAACTTTATAAACACGAAAGCAAATGAAGCACTTCACCTAAATATCGTCATGATTTTTCACTTTATATTTCATAGCATTTCTTTTATAAAATATCAAATCATAGAGTAAAATATAATACAAATGATTAAAAAATACTAGTATTACACAAGATCATACCATCTTCTTGCACCCATAAATACCCCATCACCCCTTCCTCAACCATGTGCTCCTCTCACCTCCCTCTCTCTCTCTCTCCTCCCACAGACGAAAACATAGTTCTCTGTCTAATTTCTCTTCTCTCATCAGAGGAAGAAGAACAAACCAGAAGCAATGGCGAAGGACGTGGCGGAACAAGGGTCGTTCTCCGGCAAGGATTACCACGATCCACCGCCGGCTCCGGTGTTCGACACGGCGGAGCTGGGGAAGTGGTCTTTCTACAGAGCTGTGATCGCAGAGTTCATAGCGACTCTTCTCTTCCTCTACATCACCGTCTTGACCGTCATCGGCTACAAGAGCCAGACCGACGCCACCCTCAACGCCGGTGCTGATCAGTGCGGCGGTGTCGGAATCTTGGGTATTGCTTGGGCCTTCGGTGGCATGATCTTCATCCTCGTCTACTGCACCGGCGGAATCTCTGGTTCGTATTCTTCTTCTTCTTCACAACCTGATAAACCCTAAAAAGTTTAGTTCGGACCAACTATGTAAACAAAATGTGGGAATTGGCAGGAGGGCACATAAATCCGGCGGTGACCTTCGGGCTGTTGCTGGCGAGGAAAGTGTCGCTGGTGAGAGCAGTGATGTACATTGTGGCTCAATGCCTTGGAGCCATCTGCGGTGTGGGTTTGGTCAAAGCCTTCCAGAGCTCTTATTACAGCCGCTACGGCGGGCG